CTTTCAAAAACAATTTTTCAAACACTCTTGAGGACTGACACAAGAGTCGATCTGAAATCTTTAAACGAAACTTTTTCAAACCCACGCACATTTTGAAAAGCAAACATTTTGAAAACAAAAATGAGCAAGTATCTAAGAGCCCATGGATAACCATGGATAGAAAGGGTGCTAACACCTTCCCTTTCTATAAATCTACCTCCCGAACCGAGAAACTATCTCATAAGGAATTTTGCTGTGCTTTTGTCCTGTCCATGTTGGAGAAAATAAAAGACGGTGGCGACTCTTGCTTACCACGACATTTCGCGAACCAGCTAAAAACAGTCAGTTCCAGATCCACCGATCACACCAACAATTTCCCTGACCAAAAACCGAAGGTACATTTATTTGGATTCCAGCAGAGATGATACTTCCTCAAACGCTAAAACAATTTCAACAAATCTTCTACATGCCCTTCTTCAGTATGGGATTTAGAAATCATATCATCAACATATACCTATATTTCCTTGTGCATCAGATCATGGAATAGGGTTGTCATAGCCCTCTGGTACGTTGCACCAGCGTTCTTCAACCCGAAGGGCATCACTCTAACAAAATGTTCCCCGGGGTGTGATAAACGTTGTTTTTTCCATGTCCTCAGGAGCCATTCTTATTTGATGATACCCGAAAAATCCGTCCATGAACGAGAAAACTTTGAATTTTGCTGTGCTATCCACTAACATATCAATGTGTGGTAATGGAAAATCATCTTTTGGACTAGCTTTATTTAAATCTCTATAATATACGCACATGTGAACTTTCCGTCTTTCTTCGGTACTGGGATAATATTGGCAATCCATTGAGGGTACACTGATGTCACAAGAAAACCGACATTAATTTTCTTTAGAACTTCCTCTTTGATCTTCACTGCCATATCTGGGTGAGTTCTTCGCAACGTCTGTTTGATTGGCGGACGCTCTGGCTTCAATGGCAAACGGTGCTCTACAATATCTGTATCAGACCAGGCATATCTTGGTAAGACCAAGCAAAAATATCCACATACTCTTTCAACAACTCAATCAACCTGCTCTTCACATCAGGATACAGTAACACTCCAATCTTGACTTCTTTCGAATCTTCTTCTAAATCCAAATTGATTACTTCCAATGGCTCTTTATATGGATGAATGGCATCCTCCTCGCGCTCAAGCAACTGTGAGACCTCTTTTGGGATCTCATTATAGTCTTCTTCTTCGGCCCCATACACAGGACATTCAAAGTTGGGAGAGGGTGCAAGGTCATTGTATTCAACGAGTTTTTTAATTAATCTACACATATGATTTATGATTGTTTTTAGAAACTGACACATATAACAAGTGATCATGCAGATTGAATTTCAGTTATTATTTATTTTGAAAGGTTTTTTCTGATTACCATTTTACAAGAAAAAAGCAAAAAGTAAAACACAATTTGGGAAACAAAGACAACTTTTATTATTGATCTTAAAAGTCACAGCAAAAAGATAAGCCCGTACAATATTAATATTTTCACCTTGGGCAGAGAGAAAGCTTTTTAAAAAGATTAGCACAAACAAATTACTTTGAAACATGTATGTATGATACAGTGGCAGAACCGACTATTATATACTGGTTTTGCATTTGTTGTTCGCAAATGTTGCGGATAGCAAGAGTCGCCACCGACTTTTCTTTTATCTAACAAAAGAAAGAGTGAAAAGAACATAAAAATACATTTTCGAGAGTTTTCTGAGTAAGGGGGGTAGATTATGGAAAGGGAAGGTGTTAGCACCCTTTCCATCCGTGGTTTTCCACGGGCTCTTAGAGGTTTGCTCATTTTGAAATACCTTTGTGCTTTGTGTTTGAAAATATTTTGAAAACTCCTTAGTACAACGAACTTTGTAATTGTTTTTGAAAAGTAGTTTTCTGTGTAAGTGTAAAATATTTGAGCAAACTTCTAACATCTATCTACTTTTATACTCGAAGAGGTTGTTCTTTTCCTCTTTTCCTTTAGATAGTGCTATCCTACTATTAGTGAGTAGGTAGCCTTGTCGTTGGATGTTGAGGGACAATCGAAGGGACATTATAGTCACGAAGGCAACTTATGGAGATGCTTTATCAATTCTGTTTTAGGGACTAGATCATTTACCGAGAAGGCAACTATAGGGTCATCGAGGGACTATGATATTTTTATTTATGGGTCTTTGCTAAAGCATTCCCGCCCCATGACTGTTTTTTAAAGGCAACCAAAGTGGGCGTACCTTAGAGGTGTATATGTGCAAGTGTGTTATGTTCAATTATTTTTTTATTTTTGTTAAGTTTTCTAACGTTTGATTATTAGTCTTTTCATACACGCCTAGTTACTAGCAGTTAATATGAAAAGCAGTAAAAAATGCAGAAAATAGAGGTCCTACGCTATTAAAACCAAATTGAAAAACAAGTAAAAAGTAAAAATAAAGAAGAGAAAAGACTTCTTCGATCCATGCCATGGGCTCCTTCGGTTCACCCTTCTTTGGCCTTCTTTCGATTGAGTTAGGGAATGGGTGTGAGTAGCCTTCGATTGGGCTTGAGAATTGACAGGGAAAGCTTCGATTTGCACCCTTTCCTGCCTCATTCAATTGGGTTTGGGAAGGATATGGGTAAACTTCGATTGCAGGGAGAAAGGGGGGCTTCGATTCCGAGGAAGAAGGCTGCCTTTCGATTCTGTAAAGAATATTATTTTCTTCAATCTAGAGGGGTGTTGCTGGAAAGGCCTGAAGGATCACCTGTGGAAGCACTACATCTGCAAAAATATGTTAGCGAAATAAAACGCAAGACCTGGGTATCGAAACCCAGGTCCTTCGATCCTACGCACACGGGGTCTTTTCAGGCTATATCTGCAACAAGTGTTAGCAACAAAACAAATGTAGACATGGGTGTTGAGCCCAAGTCCTTCGATTCCCTCTCTAATTCGAATATGGAGTTATTTTGTCCTGTAATACCTAGAATCCTGAGATTCGAAGGAACCAAATTCACGTGTCCTAACAATGGCAGGTATGTGAGGACTGTAATCTGTCTAACGCTTCATTGCAAACACGCACAAACACACCAGAAGGAATAAATGCGCTTAGATTAAGAAAATGAATTTCAGAATTATACCTATGGCCGGTATGCTTCGATCTGTAGCTTTGGGTGTGGAGATATTAGGGAGCTTCGATGGGAAATCTGTATGTGTGTGATGCAATACGTGTGATCTCTCCTTTTTTCGTCCCCCTTGGCACGGTGTCCTTGGCCTTGTATTTATAGGAGTGTGATAGTGCATAGTAACGACAAGAGACAACCATTTAACTAGGCTTTTAAAGCTATGAGACAAGAATCAGACATATTAAAAGATTTCCTTTTTGAAATATTCACGCCCCTTTTGAAATCTTGGATGAACCTGGACACTTGACTCCTTCGAACGTCCTCCTGTCATTCGAAAATCCTTTGCCCAAATACCACTCGAAGGGTATTTGTTGAAACGCCAATCGAAGGGCCTTGCCAAAAGGCCAATCGAAGGATACTTGGTTAACATGTCTGTCGAAGCTGCCTTGTTTGAGATGCTAAATCGAAGGATTCCTTGCCATGCCAATCGAAAGGCCTGGCCCAGGGTGCCAAACAAAAGGGTATTTCATAATGCCAATCGAAGGCCTTGACACCATACCAATCGAAAGGCTTGTCATGAGGCCAATCGAAAGACCTTGTATCCATGCCAATCGAAGGGCTTGGCCACGAGGCCAATCGAAAGGCCTTGTATCCATGCCAATCGAAGGGCTTGGTCACAATGCCAATCAAAGCATTTTTTGGAATGTCAATCGAAAGGCTTCTTCAGAATACCAATCGAAGGGTCTTTCAGAATGCCAATCGAAAGGTACTTAAAACACCACTCAAAAATTTTCTTTTTCCTTAGACAAGGGTTTGTGGTCAACCATGTAGGGGAAGACCTTGGAAAACATGAGATGACAAATTTTAGGGTACAACAGCTGTCCCTGTTCAATCTTCTTAGTCTTGAAGATGTAGATTGACTTGTTTGTCAATCTGTGAAACTGTCAAGACAAAACACTTTATCCACTTAAGAGATGAAATTGGTGTTGTTAGTTTTGATTAAGAAATCCTAAATTAAGGATGGTATTGAAGGGTAATTTAGTATTTTAGTTTGTTTTGTTTACTTAACTATTAAGTTTAATTTGCTTAGTTATTAAGTTTATCTTTTGTTAAGATCTACGTGACAATTTTCTTTTGTTTATAAATAAACTAGTGGTAACTATCATTTGTAATAATTAATTTTTTCTTAGAGCTTTACACGTCATCCCTTTTGTTCTCATAAATATATTCTCATTTCTTTTGTTCTTAATCTTGTGCACTAACAATCCTTAGTTATATTTGATGAATCAATTATCAATATTAAATATTTTTGAATTAAATTAAATATATAATAATAATACAAATATTAATTAGTTTAAAAATTAATAATTTTTGTTATAATAATGACCAAGATTTATAATATTTTTTTCTTATAACAGTGATCGAATGAGTACTATCTAACAATGAATCAACACTTGTCCAAAGATAGTAATAATGGAAAGAAACAAAAGAAGACATCAAATGAGAAACCACATAACATGTTGAGTCAATGATCAAAGGCACCACAAACACTGGACTCATAAGCATCTTGACTGTTGATTTAATTAATTTGAAAAGTACTAAATTATCCTTTTATGTGTAATAATTTAAATATATAAACACTTTTTATTTTTTGCTATTATTAGATATATGTAATAGTTTGAATATGTAAGCACTTAGAATCATATGACATCACTTATTAAAGAATTTCTATTATAAATGAAATAGTTTCTACTATGTCTATTATAAATAAATTAAATGAGTTTTCACACTAGTATTTCTTTACAACGCCGACAATTGTTACTGGATACACTTTTCCGTTCTCCCTCCGCTCCGGTGGTGCTGCTCAACCGTTGCGTCCACCCAAACCATGGACACTCCTCTCTCCAACAAGCAACTCAAAGAACAGTTTGTTACTCTCTCTACCTCTCCTTAATCACAACAATTAGCATTAATTGTTCTCTTAATTTTGCAGATTCGTCAGCAATTTGACCGGATCATCTTTGCTCGAAATCGCGGCTCTTACAGTAACCCTCCCTGTAGGTCAATTTTCAATAATAATGATAATAATAATAATAATCTCAGCTTAATTCTAACGTGATTTCTGATCAATGTTTATTTTTTTGGTATTGTTATAGATTTTGGTACTTATTCGCCACTCCTTCAATTCCATTCCCGTAACTGGTTAGTCCCTTACCACGCACTTAGTGTTTTAGATCTTTCATGTAAATTGAGTTTTGGAGTTTTGTAATTTTGAGTTTTCATGAAAATACTTGAAGAAAGATAGGGGAAGTTGTTTGATGTGGTTTCTAATATGGCCGGACGCCTGATTTTAAATTACACTGCAATTGTGGAGACTACCGCACCAGCAATGTTGCGGCTACAATTGCGGTTGCGAACCGTTGTTTAAAACCATGGTTTGAATACCTCTGGTTTGTGAATTCCTTTTAAATGTCTGGTTATGGTATGTTTGGATTGACTTATTTTGGCATATCTATTATCACAAGAATTTGGGAGACTGTTTGGTAGAGCTTCTAGGAACAATTTATGATATGCGGATAAACTGTTTTCAGGTTATTTTCATAAGCTCTATAGGATAATAGCTTACGAAAATAGTTTTTTTGTCGTGAAAACAACTTCTAGAAACAACTTATATGAAAACAATTTAACTTTATTTTAATTTTTGTTATAGAAATAGTTTATACATAAGTATGATAAGTTCCTATTGTGTAATTTCTTAATTCAGTTGTTTAGGCTTATGTGGTTTGGACATGTAGAGAGAAGACGTGTAAATTTTGTGGCAAGGAGAGTAGATCAGATGGAGAGGAGTCAAACAATAAGAGGTAGAGGAAGATCTAAAAAAACTATAAGAGAAGTTATTAAGAAAGATTCCGAGATTAACGATTTGGATAGAAGCATGGTCCTGGATAGAATATTATGACGAAAGTTGATCCATCTAGTTGACCTCACTTAGTAGGATATGCCTTGGTTGTTTTTGTTGTTGTAGCTGTTTATCCAAACATGGCCTAAAATCCTATTTTTTGCTTTTTTTACTTATAGGTATCTCCCTGAAGAAGAAAAAGGACGATGCACCATTTGAGTGTAGGAGTTTTAAAGCTTACCTATCTACGTTGACTCTTGATTTTCTTGTCATAGTTGTTCCTATGCTCTTATTTTTCACTGTAAGTGTCCCCGGTAGAATCAAATGTTTTGCTTACATTTGAAAGTTGATATTTTGCTGCTGTTATCGGATGGTAGCTATGTTGCTAACTAGGTTTTGGAATAAATTCAAATCATTTTGTTTTGTAATTGGTACAATGAACTTGGTTATAGGTACTTGCTGACTGGAGCTATATAATAGCAAGTTTATTCACAATCTTAACATTGCTTTATATTGCAGTGAAGAGGTAATTGTTCAATTTATGCAACTAAGACCTTTATGACATAAATAAGTTTGACCAAAAGTTTTACACGAGCCATATTTTGAAGTGAGCAATTGCTGATTTCCACACAATTTACTGCAGGGCTGGTGGTTCATCTCCTGTTTTAGAAGAGCCCAATTCTTTTCGGGCATATATTACTTCGTACAGGGTTATTGTGGTATGAAGTGTGAATATAGAATTCTTTATTCCATTGTGTTGATTTCATATGCTATTATGTTGATAAAAAATATTTTTGCAGATGATTATAACAATCTTATGCATCTTAGCTGTTGATTTCAGAATATTTCCTAGAAGATATGCGAAGACTGAAACATACGGAGCTAGTTTGGTAGGATTCTTTGACAGTTCTAAATTCAAAATAAAAGAGAAAAATTGAAAGACACGCTTTCATAAAGGATGTTTATAAAATTTCATATAAAATGTTTTATTTGCTTCTTAATCCAACACTTCTCAAACAATGGAGTGATATATATATATATATATATATATATATATATATATATATATATATATATATATATATATATATATATATATATATATATATATATATATATATATATATATATATATATCATGAATGTATTTTATTTTTGAAATATGAAATGATATAAGATAGTTTCTATTTGAATATATTTCTAATTATCAATGAAAAAATAGTTTAAAAGGTTGTTAATTTTTAAAAGTAAAGGAGTGGGGAGGCATATTCCCAAATTTCTTGGTATAGTCAATAATTGATTATTCTGCTGAGATTTGACATTACTTTTGCATTGCAGATGGATCTTGGAGTTGGAGCATTTGTTTTAGCAAATTCATTTGTTTCTCGTCAAGCGCGGAATATTGCATCTGTGTAAGTATGTTTACAAAATGAACTATCGCAAAATAGTCTTGTTTTGTATGTTTGCTGAAATAGAAGAATCATGTTTACCTAGATGTAGAAATGCCTTTATCGTTGAGTTAGATTAATCATTAGCTTTCTTAAGTGAATGCTTAAGGGAGTTTTTGACAAGCTCGTTCAATGGGCAAAGAAACATTATTAACATGAACATGCTGGCAGGCTTCTGAAATTTAAATTGCTGCTTTACTAAATCTTTTTACATGCTCTATGATGACATTGATGTCCTTTTGAATGAACTTGCACAAATATAATGCATTCTACATTCCCCTGATAACATCATTTATTTACTTGCTTCAGAAACTGGAAGATTGCAATAGTTTCATCTAGTCCACTTATCTTCTTAGGATTTTTTCGTCTTGTTACAACAACTGGTGTGGATTATCAGGTGGGATTATTTTCATTGAGATTCTTAGAAACTGTGTCAACAAACATTTTGACACGCATTTAATAATACTGCATCTTATTTAGCTAGCTTATACAAGCATAATCACCGATATCTTTTTGAAAATTTTGATGTTATATGATGTAGTTCTCAAAGACTATAATAAACCCCTATGATTTGTAAACCTATAGACTCTGATGCTGAGCATGATTGGGTGAGTGAGGCTTTTTTTGGCAGAAACGATTCACAGAGTTGAAACTCTGAAATTTCATCTTGACACTGTACTATGCAGAACAATTCACAAGCTTTAGACATAGAAGCTATAAGAGTTTAGACTATGAAATTTGAGAAATGCTCGAGTAATTAGCACTCAGCAGGCTTAGATTTATTTACACTTTCATAATTGATTACATTATATCTTTACTAGCAATCTCTGACGCTGTTTCAAATGTATCATTTGAAAAGGGTTGCATAAGTGGAAATAACATTGGAACCGTAAAATCTACATACTTTTTAAATAAACGGAGAAGATTAAAGCACTGTTTCCCAAAGTCCGTCCGTGGTTCCCCTCCTCTCTCACCCCTCCCTTGTTGCCCATGTTCTCCATGAATTATTAGAACATAAACTCATGCGCTTCACGTCCCACTTAATCAACCTAACCCCTTCCCCCGGTTCACGACAAACCACATCGTAAGTCAAATATCTAAACAATGCTTTCTTAACAATTGATATGGTTAAATTAGCCCTATGAATTTCATCTTGTTGACTAACATAATAAATCCAAATTTGTGGACTTTTTTCAGGATCACGGATCAATATTGATTTTTAATCCTTAAAGCTTTTAAAGTTTAAAGTGCATTAAGTTTTCAACTTTTAACAATAGTATTAAAATTTTAAGTTGGTGCACAAGACAAGGTTTTAGTTCACCATTACCTATTGCGTTTCTTATAAAAAGCAAGTTGATAGTTTTCTTCTCAAGCATTCTTCAATTTAAAAGATGGTGCACAGTTCACTTTGAGCTTAACATCTGCTCACTCACTTTGGTACATATACTTATTACTTAAAATTAGAAAGATTATATACACAATTTTGATGAATTTTGTTTTCATGGAGTATCTTTTTTTAAAGAAAAGAATGAAGAAAAAAAACTTTCTTGCACCATCTTCAAATTTATCGGCTAACGTTTTTTTTTGGAATGACAAATTTTAGTGTAATGTTGTGGGTCAGGGATGGAATCCTTGATCACTTTATCACTCCACTCCCTCACTCCATCATCATGGAAAAACTTGTCCAACCACCTACTTTTAAAACTTTTGATGTTCGAAAAAAAAAGAGTAAATATTGATTTGATATCCTGAAAAATTTCAGCAAATCATCAAGATGAGGTTTGCCAGGCACAGATAAAATTTAGATATCAATTTTTAATGGATGTGCATCTGCAATCGAATGGATATTTTTATATTTATTTTCATTCTCATCTTTGATATCAATTTTTAATGGATGTGCATCCACAATCGAATGGATATTTTTATATTTATTTTCATTCTCATCTGTTTCATGCTCACTGGTTTTAAACTTTCCCTTTGTTAAAGCAGTCAAATGGATATTTTTATATTTATTTTCATAGAATTTAATTTCTAAAAATCAAGTCCATTTCACTTCAAAAGAATCTATAAATTGGAAAAAAGTAAATATAGAAAAGATTATTCATTTTTATTTGACATGGAAAAAGCTTCTAATCCTCCCATAATGTTATCAAGCTTGTGCTTAAAGCTTTGATGAAAGTATAGGATATTAGGATCTGTTAGTGCAGGTAATTTTGTTGAAGTAGTAAAACTTTTGGTTTCTTATAATAAGGAGGTAGATGAAATTGTCTTGGAAAAGCCACTTAGAGTGCAAGATATACTTCTCTAACCAATTAGATTTTATTTTTAATGTGCAAAATTAAATTTTGAGAAGAGATTTATAATTCAAAATTTTATTCAATTGTCAGTGCAACTCATGCGACCCCACTTAGTGGGATAAAACTTGGTTGTTATTGTTGTTGTTGTTGTTGTCAGTGCAGCTCATAATTATTATAAAAGGAACAAATCGTTCTAATTATTATATTTGTTAATAAGAATTGTTAAGAGTCTGAATTAGGCCCAACCTAAGTTTTAAGAAGAATGGTTATATGGTTATGTCAAAGTATTCAAAATTGTCCTTATGCATATTATGTACATTGTTTGACTCATCAACGACAACGCGCTCTTGCATAAGTAGTATTAGTAGTTAATGTTCATATGTTTTTTCTCAAAACTTGAACATGGTTTTTAATGTTGTGTGTTCTTGTTAAGTGAATGATGAGTAACTACTTACTTATGCAATTGAAAAATTGTGGGTTTGGTTTCAAATGATGAGATTAAGACTATAAGGGGAGCTAATCAAATTGCCACCTTATAGATACTAGTGTCTGGAGATATTGAGATAGAGTTCTCAACTCATTATGTAGCTTTAAGTTTTAACGCATGCATAATGAAACACTTCAGTTCTTGGAAGGTTTATGTTTTTCAAGTGTTAAAACATATGAATAATAAAAAAGAGAAGCCATGCTGAGGTTTTTTCTAGAAAGATAAATGGTTACTTGTGGGATAGTTAGTGCCTCGTGATCAAGAGTCTCATTTAACATCTAAGATTGTTTGCGTTTTAATTGCATAATTCAGTAATTCAAGTAATTCTTAGAAAGCCATGAATATGCTTTCCATCTCATTCTTTACAAATTGAGTTATAATTGTCTAATTCATGATGTTTTCAAGGAAGCAAGTAACCATTTTCCTTCTAATAGGTCCATACGAGTGAATATGGTGTGCATTGGAATTTTTTCTTCACGCTTGCTGCAATCTCAATTCTTACATCCTTTATTAATATCCCCCCAAAATATTCTGGAGTTTTTGGATCACTTGTCCTAGTAGGTACTTTTTTTCTCTTCTTTCTGTCTCAACCTAATGTCATGTATTTTGAAATCTGATTCCTTATAAAATTCAATCTATGTTTCAAAGGTTACCAGTTCAGTTTGATGCATGGTTTAAACCATTACTTGCTTTCTAGTGAAAGAGGAACGGATATCATAAGTCAAAACAAGGAGGGGATTTTTAGCATATTTGGTAAGAATTACACATTGCATTGTTCAATCATGATGTGATTTCACTTCTGATACATAATACTTATTACGAATATCGAGTTACGTCTACAGGATATTGGGGTATGTACCTTATTGGCGTTCATTTAGGAAACTATCTTATCTTTGGAACCCATTCCTCTGCGCTTAAAAGTAGCAGATGGGTTCGGACGAGAGTTTGGGTTCTAGCAATCCTGTTTTGGTAAAAACTTAAATTTAATCTGGAACTTATTTACCCTTTTGAATGAAGTGCACCAAATTTAACTTGTACTTTTTATATGATGCCCGTGTCAGGTTATTAACCGTGCTTCTAGATAGGCACGTCGAAAGAATTTCACGGCGAACGGTATGTCTCACCGTGTTATAATTTCTTACTTGGAAGGGCTTTCTATTGGTATTATTCGATGAAAACTAACTAATTCTCGATACTTTGTGCAGTGCAACCTGCCATATGTTACTTTGGTGGTGGCTGACAATTTACAGGTCACTATCACTCTCCCTTTTGTTTTGTTCATTGGATCAGTGTCTAACATAGTGTGCTGGCTTTTGTAACTTATATTGTGGTTATCACTTTAGGATTCTTTTGCTGGCTCTATCTTGATTATTGTTTAAATTATATTTATCGAATCCAATATTTTTGAAAATATCTGACATAATTGGATTTGGTTGAGTGTTTAATCTGGGTGTCGCTCATTTTTCAGCTATTATCAATTTTAACACTGGCTGATCTTATTCCGGGAATTAAAACTTCAGTACTCGAAGAAGCATTTAATCGGAACTTACTAGCTACATTTCTTCTGGTGAACAATATATTTCGTCGTTACTATCATATTTGACTTATCTATCTATCTAGATTTAATTTTATAATTTCCTCTAATAAATTTATGCAGGCTAATCTCCTCACTGGTTTGGTAAACTTGTCTGTTGATACCCTCTCTGCATCATCAACCACAGCTCTTTTTATCTTGTCTATCTATGCTTATATTTTATCAATTGTTATTGGAATTGCTGATTATTTTGATATGAAGTTAAAATTTTGGTGAAGTGTGTTGTAATCTGTTGAATCTAGAACGTGTGACAACTATGATTGGTAGTAAAATGACAAATCTTATCTTAATGACACTTCATATTAAGGACAAATAACCATCACGTTGACCACATAAAAAGATTACTTTTTCACATCACATGTAATGGCATGCTGATAGTGACTGACCACACTCAAAGAATGCAACTATCAACAACTCATGCTTTAGTGTTTTTTTATTTTTATTTTGTGTTTGATATGTTTCATTTTCATACCTAGTTGGTTATTGGCTTTTCTTTAGTGTAGTTTGAAACTCCAGAAAGTGAAAAAAAAAAAGAGGTGATTATAAGGGTTAAAAGAAGCATCAATGTTCTAGGACAACAGAAAGAAGGTGAAAAATTGTATTATGGGGATCTGAGTAATATAGCTCAAGTGATGAGGACCTGCATGCAATGTGCTTTTTCGAGAAGGGTAGCTTACATACAGTCACATGGTTAATCCAGCAGAGTCTGACAATTTGGACCATGGTCCTAGCTCCATTTCTGTCTTTTCGTGTGTCCTCATCCTAACATATGAGCCTGAATTCTGGTGGTTTGTGCAATATTTTCCATTTTTTTTATTATCAAAAAACATGCACAGAGACAGAGCACATTGTTTATAATAGTAACAAAAATGCTTTTATTCATCCGATGAAGTTGTAAGAGAGAAGTGAACACTTGAAACTGTGAAATAAGACAAGTTGAATATTATAATTGGAGGAATGATATGTAAACGTTTAATATGGCACACCGTATATAGACACAGTAAAATATACATTAAAAAAATATTAATTTAATAAATATATTAAAAAAAAAATTAATTTAATGACAACCGTATGAACATACGGTGTCGGACAACTTTGTTTGATGTTCAAATATCTTTTCTCTTATAATTGTTATAGTTTTGATTGCTAGATTTAAGGATTTAACTAATAGATATATGATGCAAATTTTGTCTACTTTGCAACGTTTGAAAGAAGTGAATTTGCAATTAAAGTGATAAAGGAAATGGATTATATCTCGATTCATGGGTGGGAGGGTAACATGAACTAGTTGAGATAATGATTAAAAGAAGTTGGAGATTTAGAAATTTATGAAACAGACACCAAAACATGAGAATAAAACGTTGAAACGGGTAAAAATTTGAAAATAAATTAAATATAATCATAAGTGTCGGTTTCGAACATTAGAGAGAGAGAGGAACCAGTGTCTATAGTTTTTGATAGAAGAGAGGTCGGAAACTAATTCGCATTTCATCGACGAATATGCTCAAACACTTATGAACAATCCACAAATAAACTATATTCTTCTTTAAAGTAAAAACTACCTTACTTGAATTAGACTCGAAATACCTACTTGATCAAAGTTTAAATTAGACTCGAATTTAGTAATTTTTGAAACTAGTGAGCCGATTTTGTTAGATAAAAATTAGAAGACAATTTAATTTTGCAAACTGAAAGCTCAAAAATTCACCTTAATCAAAAGTCAAAATCATTAACAATAATCTCCATTAAATCCATTCTCTTTAATAGTTTTAAGTTTCAATTATTGATGATTATTTTTTCTAAAAAATCTAAAAATACTCTTTGACCTAATGGATGGGTTTCATATCCAAAAAACTATTAAACCAAAATGGATCAAATCTTGTTAGGTAATTTGGATTTATTTCCCTCTCAAAACCAATCAAAATAAAACTTAACTAATAGAAGCACAGTTCTAAGATCAATTCAAATGCATATATGCATATAAAAAACAACAAAATTATTACAATTTGAATGCATACTTTTAATAGGAGTATATTGAAAGCAGCATCTTAACTAATGATTTATCTGTAACTAACAACCAATTTTTTTCATATATATATGTCATTGACATGTAGAACATAGTACAATAAGATACAATAGTACTTTGTCTAAAACTAAAACAAAATAATTTAACTAGTAATAATTTACAAGAGAATCTTAGGTACAAGAGCCATTCATTTCCTACAAACTCCAACACAGATTTGAATGTGAGAAGTAGCTATTACACAGCTTGTGTTATATTGTTTTTTATGCATATTTCCATATAGATTTGGGTCCACACTCTCTCTGTTCTTTGGCATAAGACTGTGACAGCATCTATGAAATTAGGAAGTGAAGAAAAAAAAATAGGAGGGTGTATTTTCGTTTTACTACCTACACCTTTCTGATTCCTGAAAAGTACTCCACCTTTTCTGCACCTTCTCACGTGCCTAATATATATATATATTCTCTATTACTATTACTTATTTATTACCCTCTTCTTCTTCCTCTTTGTCACTCATAAAAAAACTTCACAAACTCATATATATTTTGCTATAAATGAAGATATAGTTGAGTTGAAGAGAGTAAAATGGCTTTGGAAACTATTATCTATGACACTATTTCTGCAACTCCATTTAGTAGTACCAGTTCTTATCATCATGATACAATAGATTCTTCTTGTTTCTTGGAAAATGCAATGAGCTATGAGCAACAATATCATGAAGGTGCAATATTTGATCAGAACAACAGAAAGAGAGAATTTATGGAGCAAGAGCAAGATGAAACAATGAGTAATAATCAAGTTGTGCAAGGGAGGAAGAAGAGGAGAAGGAAGCCAAGAGTTTGTAAGAACAAAGAAGAAGCTGAGACTCAGAGAATCACTCACATTACAGTTGAGAGAAACCGTCGAAAACAAATGAATGAACATCTCGCGGTTCTTCGGTCACTCATGCCTGAATCCTATGTTCAAAGGGTTAGTTTTCTTCCATTCATTCTCATCAACATGCATGCTAAAACTCTGTAGTACCCACACCTCTTATGGAAGTGTGTCCGTGTCTGTGTCATGTCGTGATTATGTTCATTTTTTAAATTATTATTGGTGTTGACGTATCAGTGTGTGTTTGTGCTAGACTAACTTACTTGTTTTGTTTTAGGGTGACCAAGCCTCAATAGTTGGTGGAGCCATAGAGTTTGTGAAGGAACTAGAGCATATCTTGCAATCACTTGAAGCAAGAAAGCTACAACTCTTACAACAAGAACTAGCATTACAACAAAACAACAATGAAGAAACATCCAATATTTCAAACCTCAATAATATCAAACCGCCATTTGCACAATTTTTTGTGTATCCTCAGTACACATGGTCCCAAAATCCTAATAACAAATACACATCCAAGACGAAAGCTGCCATAGCCGATATCGAGGTTACATTAATCGAGACTCATGCAAACCTCAGAATTCTCACTAAAACAAGACCAGGACAGTTAACTAAATTGGTTGATGGTTTTCAAACACTTTTTCTCACCATTCTTCATCTCAATGTCACTACCATTCAACCTTTGGTTTTCTACTCTATCAGTGCCAAGGTATGCATGCACCTATTCATCTTTATGCTCAAGATTATCACAAGTATTTTCACTGTCTGTAGTATGCATCACCTCTAAAAAATAGTGTGTCTGTGTCAACACCGACAATGACACTAACATAACACTTTGACACTTTTGATTATACTCAGTGTCGTGTCTGGTGTTGGTGTTTGTGTTTTATAGTTTGTGATATTTTAATTTATTTTATGAAGGTTGAAGAAGGATTTCAACTTGGTTCAGTAGATGGCATTGCAACAGCAGTTCATCATTTACTTGGAAGAATTGAGGAAGAAGCTACACTTTGTTGTTAAACGGAGGGTGCATGATTTCAATGAAATGACAAAATTAACCCTCAAATAATATTTGTGGATGGCTTGAGCTTTTGCTTTTTTAGTAAATTTGGTGTGTTAAATAATGTTAATGTTAACTTTAGACTAGTACTATATAGTAGCTGTTGATTATGCTTTGGTTTCTAGCTACAGTAGTTTGTTTGGAATGGTTAACACACACAAAAAAAAAGGGTTGAAACCTAATGGGGAAAAAATGCTGACATAGTTTATCTTGTTTGCAGTTTAGATGTAGTGTCATGTTCAATGGCCTAAAATCAAAGTCATTTTGCAACAAGGGAGTGATAATTTATCTATGGCATAAAATTTCTATTTTTGTTTTAGTTTTTGAATTTTTTATTGTATTGATTAAGAATTGAAATAATTAGTAATAATATGTATCAATGAAATCCAAGTATTTCATTGATTAAAGATAAGATCTGAATAGGCTAATGAACATCTTGAACCAATAGGTTAGATTTAACTTATCAATCAATAAATTTCAGTTAAGATAAGGCCTGAGTAGACTAATGAACATCATTATGTTAATTAGTGGTAAGAATTTAGAGCTTCAAGGGATATAGTTCAAATCCTTTTGTAAACTATTGTAAAATGATTATTAATAGTGGATCAGAATATCCTATCTTAATCATTTCGTTTTTATAAATTTTGTATTTGAGGAATTATGGACTGAAATGTCTTATTTTAATTATTTCTCTTCTACCGATTTCATTTTGTGTTTGAAAGAATATGGAATTAATAAAATGTCTTACCTTAATATGGAGGAGATTTGGATGATAAAGGGCGTGATCGGGTGACGAGCATGTGATCCAGTCCGACCCTATGTTCATTTGTTACGACTCATAGCAGAACATATGAAACCACGTGTTAGATGAAATATCTAAAAGGTCATAATAAATCTCATAGATTAACTGCACCCCATATTCCTAAATAGGACTCACATCATTTACTTCAATTACTAAGTCGAACCTAAGGAGCACGTGGCCGGATTCACAGGTCTTATAATCTCTCTTCCCAATAACTCTTTAATTATGTATTTATAAGATTATGTTTGAATTGATAGAACGCAACTGAATGAAGTGAAATATAATATAATAATATTATGTTTTATGGTGTATGTAATAGAGTAAACTAATTTATTTTGTTCCATTATATCAAATTATAAAAAATGCATAAACAATTGAACAAAATCTATGTTTCACTCCGCTTCATTCCATTCTATTCCATCGATTCAAATATAGTCTAAATACCAAATAATAAGTTT